ACTGTGAGAAAATAAATCTCAATCATTTAAGCCACCAGTCTGTGGCATTTTATTATGGCAGCCCTAGCAGACTAATATAGTGGGTATGATAATATTATCTCCTATGAGTGTGGTTAGGATTACGTGTGGCTCACGGAGTTCTTGGCACCTAGTGTGCACACAATAGATAATAGCTACTATTTGTGGCTCAGAAAGAAGAGGAGAAATGAAGGAACAAGGAGAGAATAAGTAATAATTAAGAATCTACTATATGCCAAGTACTTTGCATGGTTATGTAATTTAATCCACTCCCAAATCCTGTGCAAATCATCCCTGTTTTGCAAATGGGGACACTGAAGCTTAAAAAGATTATGACATTTTTCTAAGGTCATATAGAAAGTGGTAGAATCAGGAATCTGGCCTTAAAATCTATATTCTTTCTACTATGCCATGCCACCTGCTCAAATATCTTCCTAGATGCCAAAGGTTATTGACAACAGAGATCATTCTGGATGCTTTCTGCAGCAGACGTCCAGCAAGGGAATTGGATCTGTTGGAGGAATGTGCTGCTCCCCTCCCTCCACAGGATGCTCACTCCCACAGCAAGCTGGGGGCCACACACGTGCCTGCAGCCAGCGCCAAATGCCTCTTCAAAAGGGAGTTTTTAATCTGCTCAAGCACTGAACCAACTCTTTGCCAGACACACCAGAGTTGTGTATCAAAGGTGTGAGACCGATTTGGTCTAAGCAATGGAAGGACATGTGTTAACAATCAGTGTGGCCTTTCCTCACAGTGCCCGGTTTGAGAACTGCACGTAGACATCTGGGCCTGGACATGGTAACTGCAGAACGTTACCCTCGTGCCACATGGATAACTTCCCTCGTGAGATCATTTTGTATTCTACTTTAGCCAAGGAGAGTGTCTGTCAAGTGAAGCAGCTATATTTTGCAAGCAGTTGTTCCTAAATTGCTCTTTCCAATAGTAATTAGCCAATAAATTCACTGTTTTAATACCACTCCCTATTAATGATGAAAGCCTGTGGTTAGTAAAGGTGTTTTTCTTCCCTTTTATCATGACATTTCAGTTACATTTAAATTGAAAGGGAGACTAGAAAGCAGCTCTTTTTATGCTAATTGGAAACTAGATTTAATATTTATGGAAAGGCTATTTCTTGAGATGAGTTACTAAAAGCAGGATTTTATTATACTGTTCTTTCTGATTTTCTGTATGTTTGAGATTTTTCATATATAAGCCACACTGACATTAAAAAATTATTTCTATGCTGAATCAAACATTAATGTCATGGATTCAAGGTTTGAAAAAGCTTCTCAGGTGAGGATAAAATTACTCAGGTATCTCAGCTTGTGAAATCAAAGGCTGATGAAGGATGGGTGACTGCTACCAAATATCTTCGGTATTTTTATCTTAGGTAAATTGATCTTGGTAAGATAATTGTACACTAGTAAGTAGTACAGCAGTTCACCAGAATCCTTTTGTCTCCTGTGCAGGTGTAGCAGGTGCTGTCTGTCATTGTCCTGTGCCATATCCCCTCAGCAGCTACCACTTCAGGCAGGGCGTGACACTTGGCTTCCGGTGTCCAACACTGGTGACCTTGTCCTTGTTTGGAGCCAGTTCTGCCTATGCCAGCTAGGGGAGGCCTCAAGTGCCTTCCAACCTTCCTTCTCCTCCCCGTCTCACTTCCCTACTGCCCCACCAGTGTTCCCTGGACCACCCCCAGATAAACTTCTTGTATTTAAATCCTTCTTTTGGGTCTGCTTCTGCAAGAATTCAAACTAAGGCAAAAAGATACCAAGTGAGAGACCCAGCACACAACTTGTTAAGGAAAAATTTCAGAAAGGATTTTGAAAGGTCCCCCCCCCCGTTTTAAAAAATCATTTAATAGATTACAATTGAATCTAGCCAGCGGAGCTGATGTAAATAATTGGGTCATGATTGGGGCTCATGACCCCAATATTTAGGAAAAGATCTAAAGAATTCTTAGAATAAGAATACTTTTGGGCCGGCCCGGTGGCGCACTGCTACAGTGCGCCGCTTGGGAGCGCAGTGGCGCTCCCACCAAGGG